ACTGACTGTGATCTTAGGTAACTGACTTAGCTTTTCTGAGACTTAATTGTCTTATCTTTAAGATGGGGATAAGAGGAGTGGTTAAAAGAGATAATATAGGTAAATTGCTTAACATGGTATGTGTGACCCACAATAAGTACGTAATACATTTTAAATATTATTAATTTATCCTTAATGAGTAAAACTCAAATGGAGTTGAAAGATTAAATTTTGTAGAGGATGTCATATTCCATAAGTGGTTCACCTGAAGTGCCCAAATATGGGTCTCTGTGTTGATTACAGTGCTCTAGTTGAAAACCACACCTTATACTTCAGATGGAAATTTTATTCTAAGAAAAAAATCATAGTAAGGGACCCGCAGATGGCATAATGATTATGTCGCTGGACTGCCACATAGTCGACTGCGATTTGAGTCCTAGACCCACTGGCTTAAAACTCAGGCCATATGCATGTGCGTGCCCAATATCCCAAGAGGAGAATGGAGGAGAAGGGATTGTGTCATGGCTATCCCCCCAGGGGGTGATTTCTCGCTTTCTGTCTCTAGTGAGTGCTCGCACCCAATAGTGAAAAACTCTTAAAAAGAAAAAAACATAGCAATTAAGAAAAAATAGCTGCTAATCGATTCTCTGGATATTCCTAATTCATTTAGAAAAATGAAAGCTTATCAGCCAACGTTATAATTCATATCAGCAGGTACTGTACAGTAAGGCAGTGTATTCCACTTACTATATTAATACCCAAATAGAAATATAAGGCTAACACAAAGCAAACCTACTTAAAGCAAAGCCTCTGATTAAATAAAGTAAAAATAATTGGGGAGCTGGCAGGTGGCATGGTGGCAAAGGGCACTGGACTCCCACTTGGCTGACCGCAGTTTGAGTTCTGGACCTGGTGGCTTGCTTTTTCTCTCTCCCTTTCTCTCTCTCGCTGGTCAAAATTGAAAAATAAAGATAATAAATAAATAATTCTTTTTAAAAATAAATTGACAGGTTGCAAGCCTGTGGTGTCAAGATTTATTGTCACCAACTCAAGTTGATTGGCTAAGCAGAAATGACTTTGAATGAAGAAACTTTTTCTTCTACTAAATAGGAAACCTAAAGTTTCTCATATTACAGGAACTAAGAACTTTTATTTTACACATAATTAACACTCAGAAAAGTATATAGATCATAGTACAAAACCTAATGAATTATCACAAAATTAACACAACCTTGAAAATACCATCCAGATCGAGAAGTAAAACATTACCAACACCTTAAAACATTATAAACACTTGGAGCCAGCAGCTGGTGGCGAAGTGGTTATGTCATAGTGATTATGTTGGTGGACTCCAATATGCTGACCCAGTTTGAGTCCCGGACCCAGTGGCTTGACAATCACACCAGGCGCATGTGCATGAACTGATAACTTGTTTTTTTTCAATTTGTTTAATTTTATTATTATTTTTTAATTTCATCAGAGAGAGAGAATGAAAGAGGGAAAGTAAGAAAGCAAGCCACCAGGTACGGGACTTGAACTTCAGTCGTCCATGTGGGAGTCTAGCACCTTAACCACCATGCCAACTACCAGCCCCTGATCATTTGTTCTTATTCATTCATTAATGTGCATTATGTTGATTAATTTTCATATGTTAAACCAATCTTGCATTCTTGGGAAAAAATCACACTTGGCCAGGGTACATAATTTTTTTATATGTTGCTAGATTTCATTCATTAATATTTTGTCTAGGATGCTTACAGTAGTAGCCTTCAGTGAACTTCATCTGCAGTTTACTTATGGTTTTTGTGTTGAGTAATACAAGTATACATTTTGATGTATAATAAATGTAAACATTTTTTTCTTCCCCACAGAAAATGATCCACAGTCTATTTCTCATAAACTGTTCTGGTGACATATTTCTAGAGAAGCACTGGAAGAGTGTAGTGAGTCAGTCTGTCTGTGATTATTTCTTTGAAGCTCAGGAGAAAGCTGCTGATGTTGAAAATGTACCACCTGTCATTTCAACACCTCACCACTACCTCATCAGTATCTACCGAGATAAGCTCTTCTTTGTGTCTGTCATACAGACTGAAGTGCCACCTCTTTTTGTAATTGAGTTTCTACATCGAGTTGCTGACACTTTTCAGGTTGGTTATCCATCAAACTTTTTCTCCTTAAATTAGCCAGTTTGGTTGAAAGTAAGACATATGACCCAGCATTTGATGCGAATTCTGTCAACTATATGGGAGTTCAGCAACATAATCATTATGCCATCTGCTGGTCCCATTCCATGAGCTTTTTGAAGACCCTTTTTCAAATGTATTACAAATTATATCAGCAGGAAATGCCACACAGACAGTGAGTGAGAAATCACCACCCCCCCATGGGGGATGGCCATGCCGCAATCCCTTTTCCTCCATTCTCCTCTTGGGATCTTGGGGACGCACACACACACGCTCGGCGTGAGTTTAAGCCACCGGGTCTGGGACTCGAACCGCAGTTAACTCCGTGGGAGTCCAGCGACATAGCCATTACGCTAACTGCTGGTCCCAATAATAATTATTCATTTTATTCATTTTTTTAAATTATTTTAATTTGACTAGAGAGAGACAATCAGAGAACGAGAGAAGGAGGAAAATGAGAAAGCAAGGCCACCAGGTCCAGGACTTGAACCATGGTCGGCCATGTGGGATTCCAGCACCTTAACCACCATGCCACTTGCTGGCCCCCAAAACATTTTTTTTAGTAATCATTTTATTTAACTTTATTTATTTACTTTAATTTGACCAGAGTGGGACAGAGAAAAAGAAGGCAAGCTGCCAGGTCTGGAACTTGCAGTTGGCCATGTGGGAGTCTAGCACCCTTAACCACCCCGCCACCTGCTGGCCCCCCAAAAAAACATTTGTATAAAAGAAAAACAAGTGGGGATGGGGATGGGGCCAGCAGGTGGCATGGTGGTTGAGGCTCTGGACTCCCACATGGTCGACCATGGTTCAAATCCTGAATCTGATGGCTTGCTTTCTCACTCTCCCTTTCTCTCTCTCTGGTCAAAACTGAAGAATAATGATAATAGGTTTTTTAAAAAATAAAAAGCTTTTTTAAAGTGGGGAAAACAAAAACAGGATCTTAGCATTCAACTGGTTCTAGGTTTCAATCCATGCTCTGAACTGACTGTGATCTTAGGTAACTGACTTAGCTTTTCTGAGACTTAATTGTCTTATCTTTAAGATGGGGATAAGAGGAGTGGTTAAAAGAGATAATATAGGTAAATTGCTTAACATGGTATGTGTGACCCACAATAAGTACGTAATACATTTTAAATATTATTAATTTATCCTTAATGAGTAAAACTCAAATGGAGTTGAAAGATTAAATTTTGTAGAGGATGTCATATTCCATAAGTGGTTCACCTGAAGTGCCCAAATATGGGTCTCTGTGTTGATTACAGTGCTCTAGTTGAAAACCACACCTTATACTTCAGATGGAAATTTTATTCTAAGAAAAAAATCATAGTAAGGGACCCGCAGATGGCATAATGATTATGTCGCTGGACTGCCACATAGTCGACTGCGATTTGAGTCCTAGACCCACTGGCTTAAAACTCAGGCCATATGCATGTGTGTGCCCAATATCCCAAGAGGAGAATGGAGGAGAAGGGATTGTGTCATGGCTATCCCCCCAGGGGGTGATTTCTCGCTTTCTGTCTCTAGTGAGTGCTCGCACCCAATAGTGAAAAACTCTTAAAAAGAAAAAAACATAGCAATTAAGAAAAAATAGCTGCTAATCGATTCTCTGGATATTCCTAATTCATTTAGAAAAATGAAAGCTTATCAGCCAACGTTATAATTCATATCAGCAGGTACTGTACAGTAAGGCAGTGTATTCCACTTACTATATTAATACCCAAATAGAAATATAAGGCTAACACAAAGCAAACCTACTTAAAGCAAAGCCTCTGATTAAATAAAGTAAAAATAATTGGGGAGCTGGCAGGTGGCATGGTGGCAAAGGGCACTGGACTCCCACTTGGCTGACCGCAGTTTGAGTTCTGGACCTGGTGGCTTGCTTTTTCTCTCTCCCTTTCTCTCTCTCGCTGGTCAAAATTGAAAAATAAAGATAATAAATAAATAATTCTTTTTAAAAATAATTTGACAGGTTGCAAGCCTGTGGTGTCAAGATTTATTGTCACCAACTCAAGTTGATTGGCTAAGCAGAAATGACTTTGAATGAAGAAACTTTTTCTTCTACTAAATAGGAAACCTAAAGTTTCTCATATTACAGGAACTAAGAACTTTTATTTTACACATAATTAACACTCAGAAAAGTATATAGATCATAGTACAAAACCTAATGAATTATCACAAAATTAACACAACCTTGAAAATACCATCCAGATCGAGAAGTAAAACATTACCAACACCTTAAAACATTATAAACACTTGGAGCCAGCAGCTGGTGGCGAAGTGGTTATGTCATAGTGATTATGTTGGTGGACTCCAATATGCTGACCCAGTTTGAGTCCCGGACCCAGTGGCATGACAATCACACCAGGCGCATGTGCATGAACTGATAACTTGGTTTTTTTTTTAATTTGTTTAATTTTATTATTATTTTTTAATTTCATCAGAGAGAGAGAATGAAAGAGGGAAAGTAAGAAAGCAAGCCACCAGGTACGGGACTTGAACTTCAGTCGTCCATGTGGGAGTCTAGCACCTTAACCACCATGCCAACTACCAGCCCCTGATCATTTGTTCTTATTCATTCATTAATGTGCATTATGTTGATTAATTTTCATATGTTAAACCAATCTTGCATTCTTGGGAAAAAATCACACTTGGCCAGGGTACATAATTTTTTTATATGTTGCTAGATTTCATTCATTAATATTTTGTCTAGGATGCTTACAGTAGTAGCCTTCAGTGAACTTCATCTGCAGTTTACTTATGGTTTTTGTGTTGAGTAATACAAGTATACATTTTGATGTATAATAAATGTAAACATTTTTTTCTTCCCCACAGAAAATGATCCACAGTCTATTTCTCATAAACTGTTCTGGTGACATATTTCTAGAGAAGCACTGGAAGAGTGTAGTGAGTCAGTCTGTCTGTGATTATTTCTTTGAAGCTCAGGAGAAAGCTGCTGATGTTGAAAATGTACCACCTGTCATTTCAACACCTCACCACTACCTCATCAGTATCTACCGAGATAAGCTCTTCTTTGTGTCTGTCATACAGACTGAAGTGCCACCTCTTTTTGTAATTGAGTTTCTACATCGAGTTGCTGACACTTTTCAGGTTGGTTATCCATCAAACTTTTTCTCCTTAAATTAGCCAGTTTGGTTGAAAGTAAGACATATGACCCAGCATTTGATGCGAATTCTGTCGACTATATGGGAGTTCAGCAACATAATCATTATGCCATCTGCTGGTCCCATTCCATGAGCTTTTTGAAGACCCTTTTTCAAATGTATTACAAATTA